CCCCCCTCCCCCAATCGCACCCCCAATAACAACAACAAAAACGGCGACATTGATACAGAGGCCCCCGGGACCTCAATTTATTTGCATCGACTTCGATAGTTGAATTATTGAATCATCTGGCCTCCACTATTTTTGCTTCTGCCCTCCCTCGACCCCCAACCACTGAATATTTCATCCCCTGCGGTGCCCTTTGAAGACAGCTACACCGCGTCTTTCTTCTGTTCGGTTGCACTGGAAAGCCACATGGTGAAACGAGTCACCCCCAGCCGTTGATTGTCGGCTCCACTGGGGGTTAAATCGTGATTGGTCACCGGGGGAATTCAACCCTTTGGACAATCCATTGTACTTGAACCCTGGTCAGTGGCTCTTTGTTTTCTCCCGACTCGTTGGTGTTGGTATGTCAGACCATTAGGAATTGCTCGTGAATCTGGGTGAATAATCCAGCAGTTGGAAGTAGGGACTTGGGTTGAAATTCTGAGGTTGTGTATCTTGATGCTCGTAAAAATTGGTTTGCTTCAGTGAAGCTTGGAACCTAGATGAATTTACTCGAGCCCATTGGATAGCCCGAGAAATTTCGCATCGGATTAAAAAAAAAGAAGCCATTTTGGCCTTTTGGTTCTCTTGAAATTCTCGGAACAACAATTCTTCCACATTCTTCTTTCTCGTTGCACACAGGGTTTTTTCCCATAGGATTTTTTTTCTGTAGGGTTTTTTTCCATAGGTTTTTCTTTCCATTCTTTCTTCCTCGTTGCATATTCCGAGGAATTTTTCATTAAAATGAAGTTATTTGTAGGGAAGGAAATCGGAAATTACCCCGACTATCCACCGAGACCACCAGAATGGCTCAATCCACTCGTGTTCCTCAGGTATTCACAAAAATAGCAGTCCATGCAAAATTTGGCTGTGTAAAAAAGGAAAAATGGACTCACCCTCGCTAGTGCAATAGCTGGAAATTCGTCCCAGATGAGGCGGGTCTCTTCGCCAGTGTTACCTTTACGCTGACCAGAGAGAATACGAGCTGCGGTGAGTGTACTCATACCCATACCATCACCAACAAAGAATACAACCCCTCGTGCTTCACCAACTGGTGGTGTTGTACCAGTGGCACTCGAGGCCGCTGCTGCACGTATCCTTGTCTCGATTTCCCGCGTTGCCTCATCGTACCACACGTTTCTCTCTACAGCAAACAAGTGACGAGAATACATGAGATGAATAAATACAAGTCTGTAAAAAAGGAGGTTGAATAAATGATGGCGGTAGGCAGAAGTTGAGGGACTTGAGGGGTTTATATAGTGACTGTAATTGTGAATGTAACAAATAGAGCAGAATGGGATGAAAGGACAATAATATTTGTAGAGGGAGAGGCCACGTTATTTCATATGGAAATTTACGATTATACAACGAACCCATATGGATTTTTAGGACTAATGAAAGTCTTCAGGCTTTTTGGGATTGTGGAAGACTCGAGAGGGAGTGGGGTATAGCGGAGCAGAACAATGCGATTCGAATAAATTTGTAGGTTTTTGTAGACTATCAAAATGTCTTTGAAATGACTCTAAATTTTTTGAATTTTACTCTGCCGTTGTTGAGTTATGAATGACTAAAAAATTTCGCGCACACCTACGAAGAAGCTTTTGGACAGGACAACTATTCCCGGATTGGGTCTGATTAAAAATGCGATTTTAATAAATTTGCAAGTTTTTGTAGACTTTCAAAATGTTTTGAAAATGCCTCTAAATTTTTTGAATTTCTCTCTGCCGTTGTCGAGTTATGAATGACTGAAAAATTTCGCGCACGCATATGAAGAAGCATCGGGACAGAAAAACAATTTCATGATTATTTAATTTTCAATGAAACTTATCACTATCTCAACTCCGTGAACTCAATTGAAATTTTACATCCCCATTTGAATAAACAATTTATAACCCAAGGATTGTACACACAAGACTGGAAAGTGACTATCACTCGCCATCTCCCCAAGCCCAAAGGAAACCCCGAGTCGCCGTATCCAGCGGGTTTTCGGCTAGAATACGCCCTGGTTTTTGGGGTTACACATAGGTATCTCCGGTAGTCGGGCTAAATCCCGCTGTGCAGGATACCACTCCAAGATTTATGAAGCATGCCCACGTACATATACACACCAAAATCCAGGAGAATTGTGATTCAAAGCCCCCCGGGGCCACTGACTGTTTTTTTTCCGCCTTTGCCCTCCTTTTTTCCACGTTTATCTATTTATCTTGTGCTCTGATATTTATTTCATTGTATGGTTCCGTGTTGGGGAGATGGATTTTGTTGGCTTGATTGGATAGGTCAGGATATTTCATATCGAAATGGAGAAGAACATGACCCTCCGTTGATCATAAAATAATGAAGCAATATTTTTCATGGACGGAAGCTTCTCCCTAGGCTCTAGGCGTACGCGATAATTTTCAATTGTCCATAGCTTGACATCGGCTGAGTGAAATTGAAAAAATTTAGAGTCATTTTAAAGACTTTTTCATAACCTAGAAAAACCTAAAAAATTATTAAGATCACACCATTGTGCCCCACCTTTTACTGCTCCATTGTCGACTCATCCAGGAATAAGAATGTTGTGGAAGAACCTAAACTGCCCAGAAGCAACTAATAAATGATAATGTACGATTGCAGAAGGAATTCCCTAAGTTACAATGCACTAACTCGACGATTAACGTTGAGTTTCCTCCCAAGTAAATAACAATATATTTTGACTCCGTGAGTACAACGTAGTGAGGTAGAAATGGGGGGTGGATACATCTACCAGTCCAGTGTTCGGATAGTCACCAAACAGTTACAACAGTCGTTCCAGGCGCATCCAGCCATTTCTAAACCGCTGTATAAACGTCCGCCCATGTCACAAAATAACCGAGTGGACGGTATCACGCGAGGATTCTGTATATACTCAGCACTCCCTTTTTCCTCATTCCAATACCTCTGAAAACTTTTGTCGGGCATATCCCCGGAGATCGTAAACACTCGACTTTCAACACTTATCGCGGATGGAGCTGAAATTTACGGAGGGACTAAGGAATTTCGGGAAATCGCGGTCTATGAAAAGTATCAGAAATGCAAATTATTTTGAAAAATTCAATGGACTAATTTACTGAAACCAAAATTACCCTAATCATAATTTTTTCCAAAAAAAAATTGAGATAAACTTTTTCAAGTTTTTAAATTCAATAGTTATCAAATCCATTGACAAGTTCCTTAAAGAATATGAACTTATACGTCTCTCTATATTATAAAAATTCAAATCGACTTCTAATGATAAGGATTTCAAAATTAAGGGTCAAAATACGGATCACGCGGGCCAGAATAAGGGGCACGAGGATCGGAATAAGGGTCTTGAGGGGCAGAACAAGGTTCATTAGAGTCAGAATATAGATAACAAGGGTCTGATTAACTGTAACAAGGGTCAGGTCAAGGGCCACGAGGGTCAGAATAAGGGTCATGGGGTTCATATGAGGCTATATGGGTGTCAGGCGTAGCCCCTAATGTATACATATAAATTGAAAAACCATATATAAGTATATTCTTTATAAATACACTTTAACAGCTAATAGACCTCATACTGAGATCTCTAATGCTTGAATAAAAGAAAAACTTTTTAAAATGAAAGCAGTTTTTCCCGGAAATTGAGAAGCAGAATGGGTTTTTAAAAATTTGTAATCTATGGAAAATCTATAAAAACCTGAAGTATGAATTTTTTCACTACAAATTTTTACGATTTACTCTGCTCTTCACTTCTTTCATATGTCACTATCAATAAAAATGCGAACGACTCATGAAAATTTTTGATTCCCGATCCTCTTCGTCAGACCCTGCCCGCCCTCCCGGAATGAACATGAAAATCGTTAATAAAGATATCCTCGGAATTGTCTAAGTCGAGGTAGTGCAATAACAATGGGCGTTACGTACACAATATCCGGTGAGATCGTGCTATACACCCGTGTCGATCGTAAATTCTCGGTAGTTTCTATGTGTACATGTCCTGTAATAACGCGAGAAAGTATGAGGTACTGGAGGTTATGGGTAACGAGATTAAAGGTGGAAGAGAGGTGAATGATAGGATTTATGGGATGCGTATGTGAGGAGCGAGTCATGACTAATAAGTTATACTTCGGGGAATTAATCGCGTCAGGATGGGAGGGGGGGTCAGTAGGGCGGAACGATGGATCGAGGCCAACCATAATCCGATCAGGGAGTTCTGTTGTGAATAATTAGTCGTATCGAGAGGTGGCTTTAACAACGGACATAAACTTGATGCAGGAAAAAGTTGTTGGTGGAACGGTCTTTGTGGGCGAAAGCTTCTTCTTAGGCGTGTCCGGTAATTTTCAGTTATCGATAACTTTCCATTGGCTGAGTGAAATCCAAAAAATCTTGAGTCATTTTGAAGCTTTTTTAATGAGCTACAAAAACACATAAATTTATTCAAATTGCACCATTCTGCCCCACTATTTCCGCCTCCCGCCCTAGTCTTACTGTGCCAACAAGCATCAAGCATGAAAACATGAAACACAAACTTCTCATTGTAATAATTCAGTGGAAACGAACCAAAAACGATTTTCCGATCATATCCGTAAGAAAATGATAAGGAAAACAGTTTGATCACACGCACGTGCCCGGAATATCCTCGCCCCTCCTCCATCCCGCCGAGATTCGATAGATGAAAGAGACTATGTTTGGTCAGCCAAGCATCCGGGGGATTCCTAAGGTATCCCAATGGTCCGATTAGGTAAAACCTCCCTTTCACGAATACACGGATGATGCCGTTGACTCCCCCATTTGTCCCTCCACCCCCGATCCCCGGACAGTGGAACATCCAGACCCTCGCATTATGTCGGACATTCCACATCATGACATCTATCATCACCCAGGGGTTATTGAATAGAAGTCCCTCCCACAGGCAACATCAAGAGAACATCAGAATATCCAAATACTTCAGATATTTTTTTATTATAATTTTTTTATTTTATTATTAAATTCAATTAACCATTTTTTTTTCATTGTTTTCTTTAATCAAAATATGTGAGGCATTTGAGAAAATATTGGACACCTGTTATCCCACTGAAATGAACATTTTTAATTATGCAAAAGATGTTCCTTGAAGCAACAGTAAAAAAATACCATTAGCCCCGCGTTGTTTATTTATTCTCTACGGCCGGAGATTGATTCAACCATCGTTTTACCCATTGCAGCGAGAGATGTTACTCAATTTTTTTATAATCCCACGTGTACTCTTGTACGAATTGCAGATAAATATTTGATCAAGAAGTGTAAAACTTCCAGGATACGTCAGAAAAGTTTATGTACTCGTGTTTCAGGGCTTTATTTCAATGTTTTTAGTACTCTTTCATCCACGTCCCGACCATTTGCCCCTCAATAAGAGGAATTCTTTTTAATAAAAGGAAGTGACGGTTTTCGTATCCAATTGAATTAATCAGCTATGAATAAGAGGAGAAGTGAAAAGGAACATCAATCAGTTTCTTGACAAGTTCTGGTGATAATGCAGTGAAACTCCTTGGAATGAATTGTTCGGATGATTAATTTTTTCTTTCTTCCTAACATCACATTTTCAATTGTAATAAATAATATGTGATAATAAATAGCACCCGGGATTGAGAAAAAAATTTTTTGCGGATGTTCAGGTAAATAGCTGAAGGAATAATGGAGTCTTGACGCTTGTTGGGCTTCTGTAAGATTTGGGAGGGAGTCGGGAAAAGTGGGGTAGAACGGTGCGATCTGAATAAATTTAGGCGATTTTTGAAGATTATGAAAACGGTCTCAAAATGGCGTAAAATTTTTTTGATTTCACTCTGTCAATGTTGCATTATCACAGATTAAAAATTATCGCCGACAGCTGAGAAGTTTACAGATGAGAAAACGTTCACCGAAATTGAATTAACTATGAATATTTCCAAACCAAATACTCCCTAATTTCCCTAATTATTAAATTACACGTGTTTGTCCCCGACGACGGTTGAATCACCCTTCATGCCGGGTAAACGCGTCTGTTTGTAGATGGAAATCCGCGAAATTATGCGCATCACTCGTTATCAGGGACATTAAGGAGCACCCGGGGGTCAAACGTCACTGGCTCGGCTTGGAATTTGATTTATGGAATTAATTCGGCTCTGGGGTTCTGTATTTACATGAAATGCCATTGCGAAAATTCTTTCCACGTATTGCCTCCCCCAGATGCGTCGTATTCATGAAATTTTCGTGAGGGGAGAGGACATTCACTGCCAAATTTGTATTCACTCTGGTTTTTTTTTTCACTAAATATTAATTTCGTATTGGTGATGATATTCATAACGGAATCATCTCGGCATTCTCAACCGAAACGTGCCCCCTCGAGGGTCATCAGGGTAAGAGGCCAGTGCGTGTGTGAGAGGGAACGGAGGAATTGAGACACTCGATGCCTCGGTTAGGGAAGCCACGTCGGCTCAGTCTGCAACCCTCGTGATTTCACCCCTCTGTCTAAATCGTAGCCCCTCTCTCACTCGAATCGTGATTGCCCACTCGACGAGTCCATCGATCCTCGATATCATCTAATCAGTCTTTGGTTTTGGCAAAATAGAAATCCATCAATTCTCCCGGCCCCACAGAATGATGATAACAAGTTAATGCTAGGGGAGGGAGCAAACGTGACTCGATGGAAAAAGATGTTCCTTTTTTTATCATAGAAATACGGTTTTAGGTTAGCAAACGTTATTTCTTCTTGATCCCCTCTTCACACTATTGATTACAGTCGAAATTGTGATGAAGATTCTCAGGCGCGCGCGATTGTTTTTGATCATTGATAACTTTACAACCGCAGAGTGAAATTAAAAAAATCTTGAAACACTTTAAAGCTTTTTTTCTAGAGTTCCAACATCTACAAATTTATTAAAGTCACATCATTTTAATTCCGATGAAATGGAGAAAGGGTTTTCCTGTCAGAAAGCGTGTTAGTTGTGTGCGTTAATTTTTGATCATTGATAACTTTACATCCGCAGAGTGAAATTGAAAAAACCTTGAGTCGTTTTAAAGCTTATTTCATAGGCTTCACACATCTTCAATTTTATTTTAATCGCACTGTTCTGTCCCACCATTTCTGACCCTTGCAGAATCCCAAAAAGCATCAAGTCTCGTCCATTGCCTTTAAAAACTACCAACATTAATTATAATTGTTTACACTATTGATTACCGTTAAAATTCCGCTCTCAACTAGCCATCAACTCAAGATTTTCGTAAAATCTCATCGATTCAGTCGACTAAATAGGATCCCTCCTACAATAAATCAATTAAGACCCCTAACCCTCCCTCGACATGATTTCCAATCACAGACTGGGGTAGCACATTGATTGCAAAAAGCCCGTAGACCAGCAATGAAAAGTAAAAAAACCTCCAAAAATTAAAAAAAAGTGAAGGTGGCGAGGAATTGACGCGCACCGCTGGTTTCCCGGGCGATTAAACGACGAGATGGCCAGGCAATTCCACAGACCCCCGAGTCCTCCCCTTTCCCAACCCGCAATATATGCTGTCCCATGGAGTAATCGATCGATCTATGCCGAACGTGTCGAAAATTTTTCATTCCCATGAATTTTTCATTCCCTCGGACTTGGGGATGACAATTTTTTTTTCGAGGATATCCGAGCGGGACACCTGCCATGGAATGGGTACCCGAGGAATTCTTGGGTTTTTTTTTTTGTATGAAAAATACGACAAATCCTGCTGGACTGGGATTTATAGAATGCAACAGAACTGCAATTCTTGGATTTAATGGGTATGAACTCCCACACTACTAATTATTGATAAATAATTTTATGAAAAAACGAAATTCAAATTGAAATTTTTTTTAGACCGTGACTATTCGCACCATTGCGTGAATCACTCCCGTACACTTCATACACTCCACGCATGCGTGAAGTTTGTGTTTCACGCAGCCGAATTTTCATACTGCTGTGTATTTCACGCAGTTGAAGTTTCATACTACTGTGTGTTTCAAGCAGTTGTATTTTTATACACCTGTGTGTTTCACGCAGTCGTATTCAGATACTCCTGTGTATTGCACACTCCTGTATGTATAAACACACAGGTGTGTAAAACTACAACTGCGTGAAACACACAGGCGTATCAAAATGCAACTGCGTGAAACACACATGTGTATAAAAATACAACTGCGTGAAACACACAGGTGTATAAAAATACAACTGCGTGAAACACACAGTAGTATAAAACTTCAACTGCGTGAAATACACAGCAGTATGAAAATTCGGCTGCGTGAAATACACAAACTTCACGCATGCGTGGAGTGTATGGAGTGTACGGGAGTGATTCACGCAATGGTGCGAATAGTCACGGCCTTTTTTTTAAATTTTAAATTGAATTTTTCCAAATTTTTAAATTAAATTCCCACCAAAAGCCTCTGGTATAGAACCAGTTCATAACAAATTTGTTAAAATTTTGAAACTGATTAAATAGTATAATAAATCAAATTAATCTGTCGATTCTAAACAGAAACTTGAACTAATGTTTGGTCCTTATAATAAAAATTAAAAGAGATGAGAGAAAATCCTTCAGATTATTCTTTTATTGATAATACTTGAATTATGTTTCGAGAGTATTAAAATTAAAACATGTCTTCATCAACTCCATTCTCGATTTTTTCATCATGCGTGCAAAACCTTTCGCATTATGACCAAAACTTTCCTCAAAAATATTTATTTCCACCTATACATCAATCTTCTTGTTCTCGGTGACACATTATCCTCTCGACCAACTGACACACTTCCAGCCGTGATTTCATAATGCCCACATACATAAATTTTTATTTATTATTCCTTTCATCCTTTCTTCTTCTCTCGTCCTCAGTAAAAAAAGGAAATGAAAGCCTTTGACGTTCATTAAAAAAAAGCACTCGTCCCGCGGCTCAACTCGAGGACAATGAAGGGGGTTGTAGATACGAGTGGAGGTATGGATCTGTAAAAAATCCCCCTAGTGAGTATAAAGTTGGTGAGGTGAAAAAAATAAAATAAAACTCGAAAAGTTGGAAAAATGGTAAAGTTTCCGTTGGTATGGGGGTAATACTCATATCAATTCAATTAAAAAGTTATTTCGAGCGAGTCTATACTCGAGGTGGGGGTCCAAAATCACCCCATTCGATAGCCAGGAATATTTCCGATTCCAAACATCAGGGTTCAACTCGTCTCGCTCCATTTCTCCCCGGGATATGCGAAAATGCATGACGAATCAGACGGAAATTTATTTGTGATATCTTCGGGCGAGGGTGATCTCTTCGTCATGTGCAGAATTTCCCGGACTATAGCAAAACATCACATTTTTCCCAATTTTATCGTAATTTTTTTATTCGTAAATTTCAATATTTGGATTGTTTGCTTTTTTTTTTCATTGTTCGTTTTTTTAATATTTTTTTTTTGCAATTGAATATGACAATTTCATCCTCTTGATTTTCTGCCAAACACTCACTTCATTCACCAGTGACGAATATCAATATTTATTCAATTCCCAATAGTCGGCAATTTTGTCTATTCACACAATGTAGTGGTTACTGAGTGTTGTGCCGCCACAAACGTTTGTATTTTATCATCACTGTCAACAGCCCACTGAATTCATACCACTGTTTATTTACATTGCGTCAAAACAAGTGGATTACACATGTGGCTCACCTAATTCGCACCGCAAATATCACAGACCGAAGTTTTTTCATGCCCCGCGAATTCTCCCCCAAGCGCAACCCAACGGTCCGGACCGGAGACTTGCGAATTGTTCCGTCGATGTTTGCGATGATATTTGAAGAAAAACTGACCTAGTTAAAGCATGGAAAATTTGGGAAATGAAAAATTACGGTGTTGTTTCATAGGAATGAGTCCAATAACGAGCATCTCTGCTTACGTTTCTGGCGATACGTCTGTAGGATTCGGGAGGGAGGCCGGAATAGTGGGGCAGAATGGTTCGATTTTAATATATTTGTAGGTTTTTCTAGCTTCTGAAAAACTCTTCAAAATGACTCTAGATTTTTTAAATTTCACTCTGCGGATGTCGAGTTATCGATGATTGAAATTTATCGCGCACGCCTATGAGGAAGCTTTTGGGTTTTACCTTCTGTGAGTGAAGGACTGGAAAATCCAGATAATTTGTTGGTTCTTCTGGTATAATTACACACTGTGAGGCTAGTACTATGATCAGTTATCAATTCTTCCCATGTTTTTAATCAAGAAACACCTTGATCAGATTTTCCCGCCGAAGAGCTTCTTCATAGGCGTGCGCGATAATTTTCATTCATCGATAACTCGGCATTCGTAGAGTGAATTGAACAAAATTTAGAGTCATTTTGAAGCTTTTTTCATGAACTTTAAAAACCTACAAATTTATTTGAATTGCACCATTTTGCCCCACCTTTTCCCGCTCCCTCTTGAATCTTGAAGAATCATCAATACCGATAATTTGTCTTAGACTTGGTAATTTTGCACTATTAATTACAGTAAAATTCAAATAAATACAATACAATGAAATAAAACAAACGGCCCATACTTAAAACATTTACCGTAACAGCAGACCCGGCAAAACAAAATAGAAATAAAAACAACCCAGAACAAAGGCGAAATAAAACTCTTGCGGAAGAGTCAGAAGTACGAAGAAAGCGAGCAAAACAAACTCCGGAAAAAAAGCCCTAAAAGTATTTGAAGTGAGTTGTGAACGTGATCTGAGTCTCGTTAATTTACCTTGGTCACCTGCCAGTACTAGTGCGATCGTTTGAATTGTCAGGAGTACGAGGGCGGGGCCGAGGATACGTCGCTGCTGATTCCCGTGATGCTGCATCTCGCCCTCGGCGATTTTTCTCCACCCCGATATCCCCCCTTTTTTTTACAACAAACTGAGGGGGGGAGCCCTCAGCGAAAATCCCCGCGTCTCTGTAACTCTACGTGACGCGGCACGTCATGCCCTCTACCCTTCACCATTCACTTCCACTTCCGTATTTTTACGCTCGTAATATCCAATGACGACACCTCAAACACGGGGTCTGGACAGACCGTAAAGTCAACAGGCTAGTTTTTTTTTAAAGCTTCGATCTACTTTTTTTTGCATGAAAAAAAAATTTCGTTAATTCAATTAATTTTCTAAATTTTTTTTAATGTTAAAAAATTGATAAATATTATTAAACAATTGTTTATAATAGTAGTAATCACTTCTTTATCATTTTTAAACTAAAAAAAATTTGAAAATTAATTTTTTTGTTATAAAGAAAAGGAATTTTTTTTTCCTTCAATTTTTTTTATTGTTATTTTGCTTTTTTATGTTAAAAAAAAATTAATCCCACTCGGAGAAACATTTTAAATTTGTTTTTTAATGTTAAAAAAATTCTTTAATTGTTATTTTGTTCTTTTAGGATCAAAAAATGAATTAGTACATGGAAAAATTATTTTAGTTCTTGTTTTTGTTATTCTCGTGTCACAGTTTATTTTAAAAAACTTTTTTTAATCGTTACATCACTATTTTACTTCCGCAGGAGCATTTTTTTGTCGCTTCCGTCACACTACACTCACTTTTTATCTTCCCTCTTCCCTCTATTTATTTTCTTTAGATCTTCAGTACCTATTTCCCCCTTCACTCTACACTGGTAAACGAAGCGCCTTACGGGATGTAGTCCAATCCCCCAAAGATTTACCCAAACAGAGTGAACGTTGAATTTCTGCAATGTCGTTTTACCTCTGTTCCTCTAGTATTCCAATGAGTTCTACAACTTTATTTATTTATCTATTTTTTTCTCATCACTTCTTGAAGTTTGAATGCAATCTGAATAGTTCGAGACGTAACAATTTCGTGGAAATAAAGAAAAAATGTCGAAAGTGGATTTTTTACGAAAAAAAAATGTAATTATTTATAAAACAATTGAAATTTTTTTTTAAAAATGGAATTGTTTATAAAATAATTTTTTTTGCTTCGCATTGAATATTTCAAGTGATTTTTGAATTTTCATCTTTTCAAGTCTTGAAATTGAACTTAAAAAAAAAATTGTTCAATTTGTTAAATTATGAATTTTTACGAAAAATAACAAATTAATATTTTTAATTGAATAAACATTCTTAAGAATTTCCAGATGAAAAATCCATTTCTGTCGATTTTTTTTCGAAATTGTGTTTTCATGTTTTAAAATAAAATTCGTAACTTTTACGAAAATAAAAAAAAATTAATCGAATGGATATTTGATTTTCTTGAATAATTTCCAGACGAAAAATCAATGTCCCTCAATTTTTTTCTTGGACTTCGAAAGTTCCTCAACCGCTATTTTCTCAAAACAAGAATCCCCAAATTTTTCTAAATCCTCAACTCCACTTACATTATCTACCGTTCTCACTACCGAAACATCTAAACAATCATTTATCCTTCTGCCAGGGATGTATCTGACCCCAAAAGCCCCTCATTCCCCCGTCAATCAACATAATATCTCATCCCCTCCCAGCAAATCCCCCGAAACTACCCAAAATTTTTAATCAAACCTCCATCAACCCGCCAATGCCCGCTCACCCCCAACATTTAAAACCCGTGAACATTAATTACGATTTAATTAAATACAACAATATTTACACTTGAATTTTCATTAACCCCCAGCACTGTTCACAATTGAATTTTCAGTTTCATTGAATCACCTCATCAGCCACTCCATTACGGTCCACAGTTCCCTATTTACATGCCTCATAATTCATCCGTCGAGTTTTCACCGCGAGATTTTTCCCCTCCAGCGGCACTTTAACCTCGGTCAGAGCCGAAACACGAGGAAAAAAAATCCCCCCCCATTCCGCTGTCCATCGGTGCCTCGCGCGGTTCTGAGCAGACGAACTAATGGGGAAGTACTTGAACTAATGCGTTAGGACCGTGGAGGGGGAGGAGGAGGAGGAGTGAGGAGTCCGTGAATGGGGCGATGTGTCGCGGCACGCGCGTAAGATTCCCTGCCTCGTCCAAGAAAACGTGGCGTACGTTGTGAGACGGGCGCTCGAACTGGCTCGAAATGAGCGAGAGCCGGCCAGATGTGCCGAGTGCGGGTGGGCCCTGATGGGCGTGCGCGTCGAAAAAGAGATGAAGTGGAGGAGCTTGCGAATACTTTGCGAGACCGACACCAGTTTCTTGGGTTTTTTTTTTCTCGAATGGCGAGGCGAATCATGTTTACGATTTTCGCACGTTGTATACATGACCGTAAAGTTACGGGTTTTTGGGGCTGCGGCGGTGGGCAGACGTCGGCGGAATCATAATTTTTAATTGCTGTTTAATTTTGAAGAAGTCAATTCAATTTTGAATATTTTATTTTTATTTTGAATAAGTCAATTGTTAATATTACTCACCAATTTTATTATTATTAAGGTTAGCAGCTATTCAAATCATCGAATTCCGAATTATTTTATCAATTAATAATTGAGAAATTTCAATTACCAATTGGGATATTATTTTTCAAATTTCAATGAAGATAAGTGGAATGGTAAATATCATTAAACAATTGTTGAATAGTATAAATGATTTTTTCAGCGTTCTTTGAATTGAGTAAAAAACTGGAAATCCCTTAAACTAAAAAATGAAAATTATTCTGAATTTTTATTAAAAATTGAAAAAAATGGTAAATAATATTAAACAATTGTTTAATAGTATCAGGGATTTTGTTAATTTTCTTTGAATTGACAAAAAAATGTTGAAAAGTAATTCTTTTGATTTTTCATGTTGAAAAAGAAATGAATTCCCGGGCGGAATAATTATTCTAGTCATGTTTTTTTTCGCGAAACCCGTACATTCCACCAAAAATATTTTCATCAACAAAAATGTCGAAAATCCCTTGAACGGCCAAAGAAAAAAACTATTCCCAGTATTTTGTTAAAATACTTCGTTCTATTTTTTTCTTGCATGCGAAAAATTTCAATAAAATTCAATCGATTTTCAGCGTTTTTAAAAATTAAAATTTGATAAATATTATTAGACAATTGTTTAATAGTATCAATTATTTAACGTTCTCTGAATTGAAAAAAATATTAAAAATTAATTCTTTCGTTTGTTGTTATTTCAATTTTTTTATCTTGAAAAAAAAAATTAATTCTCGCACCGAAAATTCGTTTGAGTCTGTTTTTTTTTCGCGAAAACCATCTATTCCACTAAAAAACATTTTAATCAACAAAAATGTCGAAAATCCCTTAAACTCTCTGAAAAAAATATGATTTCCCATATATCACCTTTTTATCGTCAAAAATTGTCCTCGGGGTCGTCCCAATATATCACCCACCAGCAGTGGGGCATCCATAAACCCCCGACAGTAGAAATTTTCCTCCCGGGGAACATTCAGAAATAATTTGCCAGTGAGTTTTTTTAAAACCGAAATATGTCCGTCGAAACTAAATAGGCACTAAAAGGTGGGCTGGGTACGGGCACGCAATGCTCGCATTAGCCAACTTTTGTGTCGAGAGAACGCCGTTACCATGAAAAATAGCACAACGAAGGTGCTCTAATGGATCGAAAAAAAAAAAGTTCCTAAAAACTGAATAAACGAAAAGAGAAAAATAAATTGAATGGAACAATGGATTATTTATGTCGGGAAAAACTTGTGAATTTTTTTGCTCACAATAACCAGTTGAACACATTTTCCTGAGTTTTGTTATGTGAATTCAGTCGTGTCAATTTCACTCACTACTGTTTTGCGGTTTGTATTTATGAATTCGAAATACGCGGAAGTGCAAGAGATGGAAACACCGAATCACATTATACGAAATATGAATGCAGTATTACATTGTTTCCGGTGGTATTGTTGTTCCAGGGGGTGAACAATGGAATTTCGAATGGATCTGAGTCGTATAAAAATTTTAGTTGTGAGAGTGGTGCCGAGTGAGGCAAAATAAACTGTGGAGAAGGATGGAAAATCAAGCCATGGAATAGCTTAAACAATTTCAATGTTTCTTGCCACCTGAATTTAAGTCGTAACTAGAATTAAAGGTGTGACCTAATTTAAGCCGTTACCTGAAGTGGATTCGCGACCTGATTTTAAGTCATAACTTGAATTAGAATGACGATTCATACGTTAGTTTGCGACAAGAATTTAATCCATGACCTGAGTTTAAGCCGGTACCTGATGTCAAGTCACAGCCTGAATTTAATCCACGACTCAAATTCTGGTCCAGACCTCGACGCAAGCCGTGGCGAAGATGAAAGTTGTGACTAAAATTTAAACCATGACCTGAAATTAAGCCGTGACCTGATTTTAAGCCACAACCTGAATTTAATCCACGACTCAAATTCAGGTGAAGACCTAGATCTAAGCCACAACTGATATTAAAATTGCGACATAAATTCAAGTCATCACCTGAAATAAACTCGCGACCTAATTTTAAGTCCCACCCGGAATTTAAATCACAAACAAATGTAAAATCACGAATGGGCTTGTACCATTCGTTTTAATTACGGATCAAAGAGATAAAAACATGAATTTTCCTCCATCAACAAAAATCGCTGTAAAATTGAACAAAAAATGCCTCAGTCGTTTTCGATAATTTGAGCGAGCCCTGATTGAGTGATTAAAAGTGATACAGCACCAAAAATTTGCGCTCCACTGAAATATTCAATATTGACACTAGTGAATCCTGATCTGACGCGGAAGGAATTAAGCATTCGTTATTTTAATGGGGAATTTAATTACTCTGGGTGATACTAGGAGGAAATCTGTTGTCCTAGAATAAATTGGAGCGAAATGTTGTTCCAATCGCTATTCTCGATTTATCTCCATTCACCTATTATATCGAAATGCATTGTTTTTTCAACAATTCATCAATTTAATTAATCACCTCTTTCTTGATGCATCTAATAGGGTCACTCCCAGCTCTTCACCGTGAATAAATTACTCCAATGACTTCTTTTCTTTTGTAAAATAAATAATGGCTCCATTGTTTCTCATAAAACATTTTAATTCAGAAAATTATGAATAACTGTTTTCCGTTGTATGAAAATTTAAATATCACTTCAACTCGTAGCAGTTTCATTAGAAATGTTTATTATTCTCTGAAAATGAGAGAACAACATTTCTCCAGTATTAATTACCTGACGAGCGATACTGTCGACCTATTTATGAATTCAGGAAGGAAAGTCAAATGGATATACAAGGAAAAATATATAACCGGCAATAGTCGGCTTGTATGGCGAGAGATGTGTAACACGGTTGGTGCAAAAGTACGAAAAGAGGGAAAAACGGGGGATGGAGAATGGAGAATGGAAACGGCTTTGCTCCTTGAACCCCCACGAGTGCGTTATCCAGCCCCAATGTATGTGCGCCACAAGTTTAAGGGGAGGGGGGGAGGGGGAGTGGTGTACAGGGCATAAAAACATTTTATATCCTACTGCACACTTGTTTCTCAAAAGCATGCAGACGTAGCTTTACCGACGATATGCAACTGATTCATCGCAGGATTCATTCATTTCTCGGAACATATGATTCTTTCAATGCGAAGAGCATTTTTTTACGATGTCTGTAAGCAAAGCTTGGTTTCCGATTTCTCAAAGAGTCGATGGGATGGGGTCGATAGCAAACCCGTTCAATAGCCGGAAAAATTTCTGATGGAAAGGAAAAAACGGGGTTGTATCTCTTCACATGACTGGGAAGATGGAAAAAAATTGCTCGAGATTTTTTTTTCGTCGCTCAGGATCACAAGATGATGGAAATTTAAGCCGCGACCTGAATTTAAGCCGCGACCTGATTTTAAGCCATGACCTGAATTTAAGACACGGTGTAAATTTAGTTTGAAGTTTTGATTTAGATTTTTGTAACGAGGCACATTCAGCTCACGACCC